CCAAACTCCAATCCGAAATTCCAAATGCAGATCCTATCACGAGGCCGCATTAAGCAACTCACCTACCAAAGTTTCAATCCGTGCATCTCCGACCACAAACCTGTCTGTGCCTTTTACCAGGTGCAGGTCAAGAAAATCAACTCGGCTGCCAGGGAAACTGTGAAGCTGGACGTGATTCGGGAAAGTGAAATAAGGAATCGGAGGCTTGTGCAAAAGGTCAAGGAAAACTGGCTGGCGGATTTCAGATAGGAGGTGTGGATGGATGGATATGACATAATGGGTCCATAATGGCGATGTGAAGATCTATTTTAGTTTTTTTAGAAGCAAATTGTAGATATGAACACTGAAGATTGATTTTCTGTAGGTACCTGTAGGAAGGGAATAAGAGGGACAGAAGGAAAGCGGAGGTTGCGCGATTTGTGCGTTATGAAAATGGAAGAAAGGAATCGAGCAATGGTGAAACTGGTGGTGGACCATCTTCATCAGTTTGAGGTGAGTGCAGCGGGGTCAGAACCATCGACCTGATGGGCAGAAGCCAAAATCCTTTACCACTTCGCATTTCATAATTTGAAGAGAAGGGCATCCTGATGTCGCATCATGGCAAAATCAGTGGCACGAACAATCTTGTCAGAATCTCTCAGATTGTGAGCCGTGATCAATTGAGGAAGCGAAGGAGTCCTTGGGTGCGCGCTTGCTGGTATGTACAATGACAAATACACTCTTCGGTCCCTCTCCATCCAATAAGCAGACGCATTACCCCTTGACGAAGATTTCGCCTGCAGGGGCTTGTGTAAAAGAGGTTCAAGAATCTCAACGAAATTACCAACCACTGTGTGAATTTCCTACTGATGCAAGGGACTAATGATACCGAAGTTTGATAAAATAAACAAGAACTAAACTAAGTTAGCAATGTGAGGGAGACCCTCACAACAGAAACCTCTCCATGGACAATTTAGGAGGAGATCTTTCCCAAAGAAGGCGATGATGATTTGCTCCCTCTGGTCTTGCCACTCAGCATCAGCGTGTTTGAACAACCGTGCTGCCAGAATCTCGCACACCATGCCAGATATGTAAGGTAAACTTCCAGACCTCCCACCATCAACAAATTCATCACCTCATGAAAGAACCGGAATGCCCGATTACGAAGATCCTCTTTGAAGCGTTGATATGGTGTGACGGGGAGTGGGACTGCGGACATACCGGAGATGGATGATTTCGTTGTCCATTTCCATGGTACTTTCTCCCGATCCACCCTTGATAAATCTACGCTGCTTGTCCAGTCGCGGTCAGAGCACAGCATCCATGTCGTAAAACACACCCACACCGAGGTATTCCACAAAATCACCGCCGAAATCCAAACCCGTCTGACCCGTGACCATATCCCCGTTGAAGACTTTGATTCCACCCAGACTGCCTTTCTGCGTCGAAAGGCGGGGAGGATTCGGGCCATCTTTCTGTCCTCACGGAAACTCTAAACAGCTCGACGAGAGTGTCTGATGAAGCTCTGAAAGAGCCACTGGGTCTAGTAGAGTCAACGGCTATGCATCCGAGGAGGAAGAGCAATTTCAAATTGCGGAGCTTGGCCCTTCCCGTGGTCGATTTCGGGGAGATTTTCGGCGTCACTGGTATGAGGATGAGCCGCGTCCCAAAATTGCGAAATGGGCCACGCAGATCCTTCTTCAGTCTCTAAGAAGCGGTGGAAGCGGCCTCGGGGTTGGAGGTGAGGCATAGGGAGATAGTAGCACCGAAATCGGCAATCAAATCATCTATCTCTGCTCCCCCGTCACCCCATATCAACGCTTCAAGCAAGATCTCGAGAATCGCACGTCTGGATTTTTTCGTCAAGTGATGAGTTTGTTGATGGCGAGAGCTCCGGAGGTTTATGCATCTGGCAAGGTGTATGAGATCCGGGCAGCGATATTATTCAAGAAGGCGGATGCTGAGCGGAGAGACCTGAGGGAGTAGATCATCATTGCCTTTTTCGGCAAAGATTTCTTGCTAAATCGTCAACCAGGAGGCTTCTATGACCGTCATAAGCCCGGGATTTCGATGGAAAGGCAGCTCCTGGAGCATCGATTAGGCTTCTTTGAGTTGTTTTCCGCGCATAGCCGTCCCCTCAATGAAGATGACCCGACGAGGCTCGCATTGAAGCAGTGGTCCACCGATGTCGTACACCTCGCGGCAGCAAACCATGAACGATATTTTTTCTTCCGAAGTGCAACGTGCGCGGCGAATCCGGGCGATCCTAGAAAAACGAAAGGGGGCTCCTGTGACTGCTGAGGCTGGAGACTCGCTCTCGCTGGAGACTTGATATATCGGGAGGTTTTGGAGAAGACCGTAATCGTCATCAATCAGGATGGCTCTGGCTCAATCTGCTGGAAAAGGGGAGATCAATACATACGATTGACAATATACATACCAGCAATGGCACGACCAAAGGACTGATCCGAGAAACGACGCCTTCGCTTCCTCAGGCGTGGAATAGGCCTCGAAGATGAGGCTGGGAGATTGATCACAGCCAACAACCTTCAAGACGACGAGGGAATTCTTCGTGTCAAGGATTTCGCCATGATCACGTGGCGGTGCCCTACTACTCGAGTTGTGGAATGCCGAGAGAGCACGTATTTTGGCTGCGTCCAATCAAAGTCGAGGGCAGAGTCGATGGTGCCGAGGGTTCTGATTCTGCTGCAGCTAGCTCACGCGGATCCGTCAACGTATCGAGCTGGAAGGAAGGAAGTCAACAAGCCCATCCCGCACGAAGACGCGCTGTGGTTGATTCAGGAGTGCTTGGATGTGGATTTTCCGAAAGGGGGAAAAATCAACACTGGCACACCCGATCACCCTGATTATGGTCACAACTCTGTCGCCGCCCTGCTCCCGGTGTTTCTCAATAGTCGCGAACAATACCGATCGCACCCGTGGACGAATTGTTGGCTAGACCTCCTCGAAAACATCACAAGAAGAGGTAATGATCCCCTTACCACCATCAGACAAAGATGTGGGCAAGACTGAGGAGGAGGATGTTGAGGAGGAGGAGACGGTGAATGCGGAGGGGAAGGCGAATACTAAGGGGAAGGGAAAGAAAAAGGGGAAGGGCAAGAAAAAGGGGAAGGGCAAGAAAAAGCCAAAGCAGAGAAAGATTTCCTTCCAAATTGTGAAGATTTTGCAATACTCGCCTTCGGACAGTGAGAATGACCTGAGTTCAGAGGATGACCAGGACGATGATAGTGACGCGGGTGCGGGTGCGGGTGATCAGGGCGATGCGGGTGATATCTACATGGCTAGCTCCAGTGGTTTGGCTGATTTGAGTATTACGAGCTAGATCGTTGCGGCTGATGTGGGTGGCGTGGCTAGAGGCCGTGCGAGAGGCGGAAGGGGTCGCGGCAGAGGCGGGACAGGTGGGGGAGGCCGTGCGAGAGGCGGCAGTGGCGGAAGCGATGGAAGCGGTGGAAGCACCGGAAGCGGCGGGGGAAGAGGGGAGATGGGAGCAAGCATGGTTCCAGAAGCAGCAGGTCCATCAGTGGACAATAGCACGGAGAGCCGCCGACGTGATCCATCGTTGGCCGTACCAAGTCCCGAAGGTACTCCCACTGTCCGTCGGAACCGAAGCACCTAGAAACGCGACTACGTGGAAACACGCAATGGAGAAGAAAGCGAGAGGAGATCTTTCCTGCCTGGAAGTCAGCTGTGTAGTGTATTACTTGCCCAGGAATAGAGCGGGGAGGGTTTTTGGGAGTTTGAAGTGAAGAGGGAAAATGCACGAAAAAATCATGGCGAGAAGCTGTGTGAGAACGGCCAAAGCTCTGAGGTGGTTCAAGACTGTTTTCCGCGCCTACAAATTCTAGCAGTATAATTGGCCAAAACCGCGTAGCCAATTACCACATCCGACAGGAGTTTCTTAGCGACTTCCGGGCCCTGCATGTAAGTACATTAAGTTACATAACTTACATATAGCGTCCTAAAGAGTCTAAAGGTCACCTAAAAGTACTTGCCGGCACCTATAAATACGATGCTGACTTATGTAATCTGATAAAATCCAGGCGAGGAAGAAGCGGGAAGAAGAGAAGGAGGGGGGAAGGGAAGGAAAAAGAAAGAGGGCGAAACAGGGCAGTGATTCTGGATGTAAGTGAAGGTGTGAGTGAGGTGTGAGTTTCATGACGAGATCTTGAACCTTACAGGAGCGCTCCTTCTGCCAGTAAAGAATTGGAAACGAAGCGTAAATGTTTGGGAGATGTACTTGCTGTTCACTAAGATGATGGGGACTTGCGGTTCATGAAAGTTCTCCATCCGACTATGGAACCCAAATTGTCTAGTAGAGTTGCAAATGTTGCGTGCGGGTGTGTGCGGGTGCGTTGGTACTGCATCAAAACGTTGTTGTTCACCTTTTTGTTCACTCAATCAACGGATTGCTGGATTCAGCTCTTTGCCTGAACGAATGACCACCACACTCTCAGTTATCGCATGCCGTGCTCTTCACCTGAACGCTTGCGAACTGAACGTTCGTCAACCGTTCCCAAAGCAACAAGTTCTAACTATACTCGCGTTTTCCAAATCGAATGAAATCTACGAGGAGGGAAAAGAAGTGAAAATAAACGATATATCTGTTTTGCAAGACAAACAACCCTACTAGCCTACTGGTAGTGAGTACGGTCAGAGTATGGTGGTTGTCTGGAGTATTCGGGCTTTTCGAGTCTGGCTCAGTACTCTGTGCCCTGTGCTCTGTACCCATAAACAGCGCCGCCGCCGACCCTGACCTGCCGCCGCCCAAGTGTCGAGAATAAGTCAATGCTATTCTGGCTAGGAATCGGCTCAAACTCGGCGGAGTAGTCGGAGCATCATCGATATCCAGCTCAAGTATCAGTCGGAGTATCTTTGAAAAAATTGCCTAGTCCGGGTCGGAGTTGGAATTATGGTTACACACGTACACACAAACGCGAAAAAGTTGGGAGAACGAAAAAAACGCAAAAAATATCGTTGCAAAAAAAGGATTGCCAACAGCGGCTAGCATGGCCGAGTGGTCCAAGGCGTTGGTCTTAAGATCCAATCTCGAAAGAGGCGTGAGTTCGAACCTCACTGCTAGCATATTTGCAATAAAAATATTATTTTGGATGTGTCACATTTTTTGGAGACAATGCAGGGCAGCGCCCAAGGAGCCGCATTTCGGTGATTTGGGCAGGGGCTGAATTCGAGACTACAAACAGAGCAATTCTTCTCAACTTCTTCTTGTTCTCCATCTCTGGCACATATATTTCAGGGCACCCATTTGCGTCTGATTCGTCCGATCGTCACATCAACAATCGTCATTCACACTGCACTAAGTCACACCATACTAATAACAGGAGGTTCAACATCCCAAACATACTAACAACAATATGAGTTTCAACATTCCCCCAAAAATACCCCAAAACGTTCCTGCCGAAACCCCATCCAAGAAACTCAAAGCTTCCCAAGCTTCCCTTTTTCCCAATCCATCAAAACTGTCTGCGCCGCCATATTAAACACCAGCGAATCCAATTTCAATATCGGGTCTGAGAATGTCGGTGTCAGTACCCGTTCCTGCAACGTTTCTTGGCTCCCCGTTTCTTTGGCTGCTGATGCCGCGGCGGTTATACTATCGGCGGTGTCCTCGGCGGTGCCCTGGTTCTCACCTTTCCCCGGCAGATCACTTGATGGTGGTGGTTCTTGTTGTGACAGCGTGTTTGATGAGGGCGATCCAAGTATAGGTGACGACGGGTTCCCCTTTTTCTTCTTCATTTCCGTTTCCATTCTCCGATAGTGCTTCCTGATTGTATCCTCACTCAACACCGCGAATGCCAGTGCCGCCCTCGAAGATTGAAATTGATCCAAAGCCTGACTGCTCATACCGTTGGTGCATGCAAGGATACCTACTGTGTATGGTGTGTACGAAAGAAGGTTCGACGAGGTTGAACCGCTAGTTGACGACAAGGATGTCTCGCGGAAGGCTGTTCCTTCGAGTTCACGGAGGGTGCTTGGTCCGACCGGTTTTGAGTATCGTTTGCACTGGACGAAGAGGGGGAGAAGGACGTTGGTGGTGGGTGAGTTGGTGTTGGGTCGCAGCAAAGTCCAAGACCCTCGGAGATCGACGCCTTGGTCTCCAGCACCGCCGACGCGGGAAAGTTCCATGCCATAGGCTCCAAGGCAAAGCTTGATTAACCTTTCAAATTCCGTGCCTCGAGCGACCGTGGAGCGTTGAATGAGCTTTGTTGCTTTTGTTGCCATCGTTTCTTCTTAAACTAGCTAGGCAGGAAAACAAAAGAGACCCCTGCGTAAAGAATGAGAAATAGAGTGAAGACCTCCGGCAGATAGAGGAATCTATATGGAAATGCTGACCAGTTCGCAGTTCCACTGAACTAAGGTCCAACTGGCAGTGTGCGCGCGTCTCGCACGTCATTCAGCGTTCGTTTGGTTACATACAACTGGCTCACCCCAGTCGCACAGTGTTTGCGTTACGTTGAAGTTCCAGTTCTCAACACGTTTCAAACTCCGCAAAAGTGCCAAGGACGCAACGATGACGAACAAGAGAGGACGCCCACCGGGAACGAAGAACCGCAAAGGCCACAAAGCAGGACGTCCCCGCAGACATCAGCGTCATATTCCGCCATCACCCAGTTGCACGGCCTTTGCGACGTCAATACCTCCACCAATTCAACCAACTGCTTTGTTGGTGAAGCCAATCGACTTGGGTGGACAAGAGACGACTGAGAGCAATGCGAATGAGGATTTTGTGTCTGTCGACAAGACTGGCGCCGATGATACTGCTCTGCAACCAGATCAACAGCACGCGATGGCGAGCACGAACGAGAGTCAGTTGAATCAGGCGTTTCTGTCTGCTGACAAAACCGGGGCGGTTGAACTTGTTCTGCAGCCAAATCACCATCAAAGTCTTCAAGCGATGAACAGCACAAATGATTTTGATTCAAATAGGCAGGTTCTATCTGCTGATAAAACCAGCGCGGTTGAATCTGTTCAACAGCGAAATCAACGGCATTCGACGACAATGACGACTACGAAGGAGAGGTTGAGTGAGGAGATTCATAAAACCAATGCGGATGAACAGGTTCGACAGTCAAACGGACAGCAAGCGATGAGGAAGTCGGATGAAACCCCCGCCGCCCCTCAAAGACTGGAGGATCGAAGCACCCTGTCTCCTAATCCCAATACCAGAGGGGTTCACACAACTGAACCTATTAGAAACCAGATCAGAAACGAAATCCAGCAAGAAACGACAAGTAGTTCTTTCGCGGCTTCCCATGCGCAAACGTCGGAACTTACTACTCCAAAGCCAGAACTCAAACCACAATTAGTAGCTTTGTCACTGGGGGCAGTCGAAAATATGCCGATGCTGCATCCGATGGTGCGCCGAACAGCATATATATCAACACACCGAAGAACCATGCCCATATCAACTATATTTCCAAGATCTTCCGGCACTCCACCAGCCCCAACTGGTAGAAAACAGCGCCGACCTCGACATTGTAAAGTTTCTGACTGTCCTTCCCCTGAAAGCTGTGCAGGGCGAGGAGGTCAGCGTCTCTGTCCTGCCTTTGTACCTGATAAAAGTAAAGATCGACATCAAGAGAAAGCTGGTTACATCAACCATCCTTGCCTGACCGTTCCCGATGCTCACTAAGATCCTGTTCCGCACACCCAAGTCGGGTGGAGGAGAAGTTTGTTGCATTTAGGGATGAAAGCATGATCTGCACTCACCGATTTGTCTGCAGGAATTCCATAGCTTTTTTTTATTTTATTTTTTTACTTTGGTTTATTTACTTGTCTTCTCACAAACGTTTACATATTGCACTCGAAAGGGTCTCCTAGAGGACGCTATCTATGCTTGTATTCGTAATCATCCCGTCGCCTTGAGGTTTCGAGATTAGTCAGCCGACAAGGGTCAACAGCACTGCACGGCCCCTTCACCCCCCTCTCTTGCCTTCCTTCTCTCTTAGTCAGGGCCGCGTCTTCGTCTGATATCCTCTAATTCACACAAAGTTGCAGACTTATTTTCCTCTTCGATCTGGTCGCTGGAGTAGACGTGGAAACAAAAGACAAATAACACAATCCCGATTCAAACTATTCTCACTATCCCATTCACGTTTTCGTTACAGAATCCCTTTCCCCCACGAAAATCCACTTTATTTTTCGAGGGACTTGTACATTTCGTCGATCTCCTTGAGGAACATCGCCTTGGCTTGAGGCCTGCATATAAGCGCAACGACTCATTAGGCATTTTACGAACAAGTGGGATATAAGGTAAAGCAAATGAAGTCAACACAAAAAAGATGTACGAGTCTGGTACCTCTTGGTCTTGAAGGTTGGCGTCAAAAGGCCATTGTCAACGCTGAAGGGTTCTGCGTGCAGCCGAATAGCTTTCGGAAGTTCGAAACTATGCAATTTGTTCTGGAGAGCAAGGAGGGAAAACCGCGTTAGTTATAGACATCAAATGAAAGAAAAGATTGGATGACTGCTGTTCCCAACATTCAAGTTTTATCATCCAAGCTGAAACTACGAACCTGCTTGCCCATCTTAATCATTCCGTCCAAAACATTCTTGGTCACGGTTGGATCAGCACAGAGTTCCTCAAGGCTCTTGTCACCAAGTCCGTTTGCTTTCGCCCTTTTGTACAGGAGAGGAAGTCGTCTTCAGCAACCACAAATTCGTCAAAATCGCGCAAACGAAAGCGTCCTATATCATTCACTACATACCATGGCAAAAGAACCTCGGGGTCCGGAACAACAATACCAACGAGGGCAGATTGGAGCGAATCACCGTAGATGAAGGACTGGGATTTTTTTGGAAGAGGTTGAGACCGAGTTTGTGATGAGAAACGATGGTTAAGGCTCTGTTACAGAAGAAACTGATGCGTTGCAAATCGTTACCTGCATGACGAAACTTTTCATCATTTCATGTTCGGATCACAATATGGTTGAAATGGGACGAAGGGGAAGGCGTGTGCTTAGGATTGCTTGTTGAGACCATTGAACAGATCAAGTAAACAGGATACATACTCGGTCTTAACTTTCATTTCGACCTTTTCGGGGGCGACATATTCTGAAAAAAAGATAAAAATCGTATGAAGTCAGACATGTCGGAATGTTACGTTTGGTGAAGACATCCAAAATCATATGAAGAAGACCGAATCGGCTAGGTTATGTACCTCCTTGTTGAAGCTTGAACAGATTCTTGACACGGTCAATGATCTTCAGTGTGCCGTTGGGAAGAAGTTCACCGACGTCTCCGCTGAACAAACCCGGATTCAATAGTTTGTGAGTAAGAAATACACGGAAACGCGGAGGAAACTCCAAGAATCCGCTGCAAAAGAACTGTTTACTCACGTGTGCAACCACCCGTCGGCGTCCAAAGCTTCCTGAACATGACGCGAAGGCAACCGAAGGAAGTATTAGTGACCGCTTTTCCACTTCGATCCATAACGCGACAAGCTCCTGACGGTTCCGTATCATTACCGCAGTTTTTTCAGGAGCCTTGTAGTATCCTATGAGAAAAATGGGAAATCACTCATCAGGACCGAAGATCAATCACAGTCCGTGTCGGTGTCATCACCACTTCACCTTTCATAACGTTCAAACCACGGATGCAGATCTGAAATCAAAAGAGAGACAATGAGATACGGCATCCACACGCCGAGCCCACACAACAGCGTCACAACCAAGCCATGCTAATTTACTAAACTAACCTCGCCGCGCGGATTGGGCTTGTCCTCAGCGAAGTAGGACATCCCTGGGACGTCCACGAGCTTGACTTCAGAGCATGCGAACGGGACACCTATTCGCACGGAGGAATTGGAAGCAAACAGTAAGTTTCAATATAGGGGCCAGGAAGAACAGATCATTTTCCAAATTCTCAGATCCAACATATGCTCTCCACGATTATAACTCATGGTTCATGACATACCAATGTGCGAGCCGTACGGGAACTGGTAATCACCCCACGTGGAGAGGGTACCAGAAGCAGAACTTTCGGTTTGACCATAGCCTTCCAGGACTTGGCATCCCATGACGATACGAAGGAATTCGACAACCTCGGGGGAGATGGGAGCCGCACCA